ATTATTTAGGAATATTTTATACTGGAATATAGTTTAATTATTTAAACTAGAATTCGTTTAAGGGTTGACAAATATTAAAGTGATTGGCCTTAGACTAAGAATAGTTTAAGGATATTGTTGAATGTTGAATATTGAATATTGAATATTGAATATTGAATATGAGTAAATATTGAATGATGAATATTGAATTGAATATTGCAATTATTATGAATGACTGATGAACATTGAATGTAAATATAAATGTTGAATAATGCATGATGAATAATTTTTAATAATTATTGATTATCTGAACTGAACATTATGTGCATGATATCAAATGATTTGATTATGAATTTAGATTCAGTTTATATGGATGTTCGATGCATTAGATATGCTTACTCAACTTCAACGCTGAGCGTGTAGTATGTTTTATTTAATACACGCAGGTTAATGAAGTGACGTGATCCTGGAGGCAGACGGAGGCGAGATTGTCGGAATGGATGTGATGGTTTTGAATTAAAGAATATAAATAAGTTATGTTTGTGATTATGATTGTTAAGCTTCCGCAATATTTAAAACTCCGTACTGTTTATATTATGAAAAATATTATTGTGATAAATAAAAGTGTTTGAAATGTTTTAAATTTTTACGATTACCAAGTTAATACTTTAATCTGAAAGGGGCTACAGACCTGGACAGATTAGGGTGTTACACTTTACTTTAACGCACTCGTTTTTAATTTCCTGCGGTTTTATTTTAAAGGCTATTCACCCCCCTCTAGCAATGGGCCTTTATTCTAACAGGGAGGGTGGTGGGTCGACGATCGATGACGATGTAGCGGCGAAGGAGTGGAGGTCGGCGCTCGATGACGGCTGGAGGCGAGGACGAACGGCAATTGGGTTTTGCGGTTCTGCTTCGAAGTTGAACCAAATGAAACGAGATAAGGTTTTACTTTAACTTCTGCGACGGAAATCCTTCCGTCGCAACAACCGTCGCAAATATAGATTTTAAAAAATTGACGCAGATTCCGTCAAATCCTTCCGTCGTAGATTCCGTCAAATTTTAAAATTCATTGTTTTTGTCGCAAAATCTGTCGCAATTTGTGACGGAATTAATCCGTTGCAGATATTCCGTCGCAAATAGAACCAAATCTTGTAGTGGTATCATTTTAGACTCTCTTTTTTATTTATTGAACCTTACTATGACATGAAATTATTATCTTTACATGTTAATTCATATTTATTTTTTTAAGAAAATTACTATGAAAAATAAGAATTTGTTTATTTTTTTATGAAAAATAAAGGGATAAAATTATTTAATATATAATCGTAATGACTAAAATGAAATTAAATGAATGAATTACTGCTATGTTAAGACAATATTTCTATGTCATCTATAAAAAATTAGATGTCATCACTATAAGTTAAGGGGAACGAATAAGAGTAGAAATGAAGAAAATGGTTTGATTGAACAAAAAGAATAATACAAGACTAAATTCCATTTTGAACAATCGACTTGAATCCTGAGATAAATATCATCCTCTATTTCTCTGCTGTCTTGAACGGTACACCCAAAATATTTAAATCTCTTTACTTGTGGCATAATATTTTCTCCAATTTTCACCTCGATGTTACTATTTCTCCTTCCGTTGCCAAACTTGCACTCCATATACTCTGTTTTATCGCGACTTATACGCAAGCCATGCAACTGCAAAGCTTGTATCCACGAATCTAACTTCTCATTCAAATCCTCTTGTGATTCGCTCAAGGATGATGTCGTAGACAAAAAGCATGCACCATGGTACAAATTCTTAGATATACTCGATAAAAACATCCAGTATTAGGATAAAAAGATATGGGCTTAACGATGACCTTCGGTGTAATCTTACACCGATGGGAAGATATGGGCTTAACGATGACTCTTGGTATAATCTTACACCGATGGGGAATTCCCAAGTTATCCCAATTTTAATCCTCACACTCGTTGTAGCACCATTGTACAGGAATCGCACAAATACAAGTAATCCTTACTCCTTTTTTCTCCATGATCTTGCACAATATCTCTCTTGGTACCCTATCATATGTCTGTCATATGTCCTCCCACACTTATAAGATATAAGATAGATATGAAATGCTCGTATAGCTTCTGAAAACAAGTGTTAGAAAAATAATATTTCTGTCACAAGTAACTAATTAGTTTTAATGCATTTAAGTATAGCTTTGATTAATTTTAAGAAAAAGTTAGGGATACACCAATTTTTGTACACCAACTTCCACACCAGTGTATCACAAACACAAACAAATATTGTTTGTTCACGTACAAACAACCAACCATTATATGTGTCTGTGATACACTCTATGCAAGTTGTGATACAAAAAATTGGTGTACCCCAAGAACCTAGCACACCTCTTAATTTTACTTCCTCAAAGAAAAGGCTAAAACACATTTACATAATGAATCATGAGATTTCGGAATAGGCCTGTTTGCTTTGAAACCAAAGTGCTTGGAAAACATGAAAGACGATACGATTTGCAAATCACATTCCTTCCATCGAGAACCAACCAAAGATACTAGCATCAGCCAGAAAATGTTCTTAAAACATAGACGGACGGATGACTTTCAGTAATGATTATGGCCTGTTTGGGAACATAGATTTGGATTTAAATCCAGATTTGATACAAATACCTTGTTTGGCAACCTAAAGAATTTGGATTTAGATTTGATTCAAATTCCTCTCATTACTAACCAACCCACTTACAAATTCATACCCAAACCCATGTCATTTGAATTCCCTGGCCCAATTAAAATTAGAAAAATGCTAGGGGTACACCTTTGTTGTACCCCATTTGTCCCCCACCCCCTCTTCCACCACATAAATGGGCAAAAAACTTAAAAATAAATAAATAATTAAAAATGAAATAAAAATATATGGTGAAGAAGAGGGTGTGGGACAAATGGGAAGGTGTACCCTAGCATTGCTCTTAAAATTAATTAAGTGTAGACATTCATCCTCTTTCGATCCCTCTCGTCCATCGCCTCTCCAGTTTGCGTCTTTCATCTCTGATCGAGATCGCGTCCAAGCTGTGTATTCCAGCGGCTACGTCTGAATCGCTTTCATCCCCTGTCTTCCGAAAACTCCGATCCAGGTATATCTAGAAACCATTTTTTAAACCCTAGCTATGGTTTCCTTGAAGTCCAAGGTTGAGGATGATGAATGAATGTGAATTGTTGACTTACTTCTTCTGTGTACATGCATCGATTTGTGTTTGATTTTTTTCCGATTCACAAAATCAGATTTTTCCTATGGTTTTGAATCTGGTTTCATGATTTAGACCAAACCGTGGCAGTGGAGGAGTCCAGACTGTCGGATATTACTTGTACTTCTGTCATAAACCTGATCAGTGAAACTAGTGCATGAATTGGAACGAATATCTTCATCCCTATTTGCCAACTTGCTTAATGTAAAAAAACAATTTTATTTTATTTTAAATTACTACCTACGTCCAAAAAAAAATTTACACGTTTTGACTAAAGTTGAAATTAAGGGATGAATAAATTTGTGTTGATTTTCCAAAAATACCTTTGTTGTGATGGGTAAAATTAGAATGTGATGTGTAGATTATTAGAAAAAAGGTATGATGTGATAGGTAGGGTTTGAAAAAGTAAGGGGTAAAAGTGGTTTTTAATAGAAATGAGTAGGAGATTGTGGGACGCAATTTTTTTGAAACGTGTAAATCTTTTTGGGACGGAGAGAGTAATTTTTTTGGGTTCACATGCGACTGGATTTGTAATAACCATAGTTGGGTTTTAATGATGTATCCTGCTTCACGCACATATTTCCCTAGAAATCTGCTCCATTTGCCAACTTGCTTGGATGGTGTATCAAGGAAATTAAATCAAAGTCCTGGGTGGATTCACCCATGTTCATTGAGCTGTTGTTCATTTCTTGCTTTGTTGTTTGTTGTGTTTGGACTGTTTGGTTTGAGAAGTGCTTGAGTTTGAGTTTTAGTGAGACAATGGCAAAATGGCAAGAAGAATATGGGTAAGGCATTGAACCACCATATTGATTTTTAGAGGGGATGTTGCAGAACAATATGGATGAGATGACGAGTGAAGAAATGAGCACGTCAACAGGCTCTGTGTCGAAGAAGGTGAAGAAAGATCGTCTGGCAGAGGCAGTTACAAGTTTCGCGAACTCATTCAACAAATATGTTCAAAGCAAGATCAATATGACTTCAAATGCGAGCGAGAAAGAAATCCATGACGGGACGTTGTTTCAAAAGTCGATGGCATACTTCGTCATCAAGTGTTGAAAGCTGTTAATTAGTACCGATCAGTCTTTTAATTTAAATCCTTACAAATATAATCAGATTTGTCACGTTACATTGAGACGATTAGAATCCCCAAAATATCTTTTAATTCTTTAAAAGAATAAGTTGTCGTAAATAAATAATTCTTATTTATTTAATTATTGATTAACTTCTAGGCTGGTTTTTAGGGCGTTACAGTCATCCACCAGCAAGCTCCTATAGAAATAAGACTATAGATAATTGGGATGATATTTGTATTCTATTTGGATCGGATAGAGCAATTGGAGATGGTGCAGAACAATATGATGAAGCAGCGATGGCTATGGATGAGGAGATGACGAGTGAAGGAATGAGCACGTCAACAGGCTCTGTGTCGAAGATGGTGAAGAAAGATCGTCTGGCAGAGGCAGTTACAAGTTTCGCGAACTCATTCAACGACTATGTTCAAAGCAAGATCAATATGACTTCAAAGGCGAGCGGGAAAGAAATCTATGACGTTGTTTCAAAAGTAGATGGCATACTTCGTCATCAAGTGTTGAAAGTTGTTAAGAAGTTTATGAACATGCCAGATGAGTTTCAAATGCTCAAGGATTTGCATGAAGACGAGAAGTTAGATTGGATTTTGTTATGGTCGGAAGAGTGATCGAGTTATGAACAACTACGCAATATTAAATATTTACTACAAATTAATACTTTATCTTTTGTCCCAATTTAAATCGTCTGTTTTGATTTTTAGACATATTTAAGGAAAATAAAAAATAGAGTTGATTTTCCAAAATTGTCATTACTCTTTAGAAGGGGTGATGATGAATGAGAAGATAAGGTGAAGAAGAGTGACTTATATTAGGGGTAGTTTAGGTATTTTATTTTTAAAAGTTTATGAAAACAACTAACAGGCAACTTATTTTGGGACGGAAAAAAAAGGCAAACATGCAATTTAAAATGGGACGGAGGGAGTATGTATTTTGTTTATGAAACAATTGGTCATTATGTTATTTGAGATTATGTTTACAATATTTTATTCATTAAAGATTTGAAATGAAATTCTAGTACTTGCCAAACAATATCAAAATTTGAATTCTAGAATTGAAATTATGAATTTCCCCAAACAGCATTTGGATTTGAAATTATAAATTTTGAATTTCTTGTGTTTGCCAAACACCAAAATAGAATTTGAATTATGGAATTTCAAATTATAGAACTGAAATTCAAAAATTGAAATGAATTCCCCTATCCAAACACTACCTTAAAGAATTGTAAACATTTATTCCATATATATAGTATGGGCTTTTGGGGGTTGCGGTGCAATCGGGCGCCACCACACATACAACAGTTACACAAAGGTGACGGTGGTACAAACCTTTAAGGTTCAGAATCCCACCAGCACACCATACCAGTCTAGTACGGAGTATTTTATGTGCAACAAAAACAATAAGAAATTTGCTACTCAGCTGCTTTAATTAAACATAACAAAACAATCAATCTTCTTTAAATCGGGCCACATCTAATATGCGACCATCTCTAGCAATCTGCTTCAAGTCTATAATGTGACTATTTCTGAGAAACCCATAGCCAAAAGTCCCATTTCTGTAAAGCCAAATCCTTCCTTCCACCTGCCGGGGATTCAAACTAGTTCCCAGCAGGTCAGGGATAACCAAGTCATAGCTTGAATTCATTGTGAGCGTATGTGATACGTCCCCGCTATCAGAACAAGCTATACAATCCTCAACAATGTCACCTTCAGCAAGAGGCTGTTGAAGATGTATGCGGCTCTCGTATATATGTTGCTCATCTGAAGATAAGGGAGATTCGATAAAGGTAGTGTTCGAAGTCCAGAAAACCGGGGTACATCCAGAGAAAAGTTGAGAAAGTTCCCCAACTCTCCGGCACGTAATTCCTCCAATGTCATCATATGAAACAAGATAAAATTCAAGGCTCATGTCATCACTCATTCCCTGCAGAGAGAGGCGGACAGAGTTCTATGAGAGAAGCTTTGCCCATCCAACAATGACAATGCACTATAATACCACATTAAATACAACAACAACAACCCAGTTGAATCCCACAACAGTAGGGTCTGGGGAGGGTGTGTGTACGCAGACCTTGCCCCTACTCGGAAGTAGGGAGGCTGTTTCCAAGAGACCCCCGGCTCCACCTGCACAAAAATATGGAAGAGAACACAGTATAGCACAGATAAGGCACCAAGTACAAGCAACAAGTACAAACAATAGCAAAAAATTCCCAACAAATACAACACACTACAAAACAACCTCTACAACACCGAGCTCCTATCCAGCTACTCTGATCCTAGTTCTCCAAAGGTTCCTATCTAGGGCCATATCCTCAGTCAGGTCGAGAAGTCCTAAATCCTGTCTTATCACCTCCTCCCAATTCTTCTTAGGTCTACCCCTTCCCCTACTTCCCCCGATAACTGTAATCCTCTCGCATCTCCGTACAGGGGCGTCAGCATCCCGCCGTCTCACATGGCCAAGCCACCTCAACCTCGCTTCCCGC